AAGCAGCATTACGAGTGAAGTTAAGTGCTTTGCATTTACACCAAAACCTACTAGAGGGCGTGTGCAATCGTCACTTATCGGATTTCCTGTCTCACATCGACTTATGCGTATTCTATAGCGCGTGTTCTTGCTCGGCGACCACCATAGGTTGATGTTCCACCTTCTTTAGTTCATTCATTCTCAACTGCTGGCTCAGTCGCCGTAATAGCATTCCAACCAGCCTAGAAATTAATCCTGACTGTAGAAGCATTGGATATCATTTATTTCAGATCACATCACAAATTGCTGGGCAAATGGGAGAGAAAGTGTACGAAGATTTGAATCACGATGACACTTTCCATAAAACTCATCATATACAGCTGTCAATGATCCGGGATCATGTTGTTGCTTGAGTTGTTTTTTATTAATTATTTATTGACCTAATAATAAAAATACATGACATCAAACAAATAATTATAAAACAAATATCATGGTTGCTGTACATACATGTCAACAATAAACTTGAGATCGAGATTCTGCATGAAAATTTAAAATAAAAATTAGGCTCAGATTGTGACGGTTTGAAGAGGATGATCATCGCGTGTCCTCGCCTTTGTTCCTCGTTCTTCAGAATTGTGCATTACACTTCCTTGAAATGTTGATTTAATTTATGACCTATGGACATGGTTTCTGGGAAACCGTAGAACGGAAAAGTACTCCGAACTTCTCTTATCAGGTTAAGGCCAAGAACTCACTCATGCATGTCGCCATTTCCATCACAATTCCTTTGGAGATATCACTCTGCAAAGCGCACTTGGTCAGATTGTCCACAAGACGAAGTTCATTAGGCATGAACAGACCGCATCTGAGTCAAATGAAGTTTATTCTGGAAGAGCGCTAGCTATCTCAGGGGTCATCCATACAAAGATGCGGGACATATAGAGGAAGCAGGCGAAAGCAAATGGAAGTAAGAGCAGGCAGGCCTACCTATACCATTAGAAGCTAGTATCTTCAACTATGTAGCTGTGAAATTTGGAAAACCTACCCGCAGAAGAAGCTTTCGAGAATTCGAAAAGAAGCCCGAGTGGTCAAAATCACCGCCGGATTTTTCTAATCAGGCGTCATAAGAGGGAAGTGCGCTTCTCAAATTTGACCTGTGCTGGACCAGTTGTTGTGTGTAATGGTGTTATCGAAATGCAAGGTAGAAGACTCAGTTCAGGATCCCGAAGAAGGAGGAAAGGGAAAAATTTGTTTGTTGTGGATGGTCCCATAATGTTCATCCTGCACAAGAAAAAAGGGTGGATGAAGTCAAGCGCTGAATGTCTGATCACAGAGGCTGGACCCTTGTCGAGCTTCCCCGCGAGACTGACATCTCCTGCTGCAACTGCTGCCCGAGTTATGTCCGATAAACTGAGGATGGTCAAGAGGGTGTGCGCATTGGGTACCTAATTTTCTTGCAGAAGCACGTATGCAGTATCGATGCTATGCGTAGGAGTAATGGCCTCCGCATAAGATGTCATTCAACGACTGGATGTGAGAAGGTCCACGGCCGCCTAGATGAAAACACGGATGGTCCTAAACTCCATGCCAAAACTCACAAGCGTCAATTTTGTATGACTGCAGATGAGAAGCCGCCCCACTCCTGCCACGAGGAGTTATTTGGGTCCACGTAGATTGGGATTCATCATGGCGGAGGATTTCTGCACTGTGGCTTTTGGTCGGCTCTGTACATAGAACAAAATTGTGGGTGTATATTGCCTGTTCTTCGACAATCAGGTGACAAATGGATGGTACCACACAACTATGTACAAGGCCACCGTTGCTCGTAATAGTGCCAGAGCCCGAGACCCCATTGGGAGCGGGTCATTGGTGGAGGAGTGGAACTATTTGAAGCCAAATGGTTACTTTTTTTAATGGATAATAATATAAGGGACAAACTCACCTCATTTTCCTTGTGCAATTGTTCTGTGCTGGATAGAAACAGCCGAGTAGGCAACTGTTCATAACTTTGGCCGGTTCTATGAGTTTTTCGAATGAGACACCTGCAATGAGCCGCAGAAGGATTCAGTCCCATGGGATACACACTTTTTTTTAGCTACACCAGTAATTTTTTCGGCTAACACCAAATTTTTACGCGGCGCCAGCTTTTACCTTCGGAAATGATAAGTTTCAATTCAAATGCACAACTCCGAATTATTGTGTGAGCGGACATGTGGACGGAGACATAAACCTTTCTGCCTTTCTCACTGGCCCGTCTCCTCTTCGATGTCAAAGGAAGAGTGGCTCACCAAGTGAGGAAAGCAATTGAGTGCTCGTTAGCACTCAGATTCGTTCTTTGTGATAATCTCATTTGAATTTACGTATCTTCTATGGATGGAACACTGACCGATTATGCTTGTCAGCGATAGATGCCTGGAGAACGGGTCTATCATGCTTATTCTCACCATTCCTCGTGAGAAAGGGGAAATACAATGGAGTAGAGAAGTTCCTACTTAACAAGATAGATAGCGAACAGCAAAACAGCTGACAATAACGTCTACAATTCCGTTTGTGACGCATTCTGACCAACTGAATACGAACGTCACACCCGTTAGGAATGATACCTCCTGCAGAGTGCAGGCAGAGCCGCTGGTCCCAGAATGGTTCAAATCAACAAAATCGCTGAAAACCGTCTCCAACGGCAATTCATCCCCATGAATACGAGTATCACATGTACATTTGGGCGCACCGAAGAGCTAATATATATTAGGAAAAGGTGGCGATTGAGGTTGTTCTTGCAGGGAACACGGCCGCCGCTTCGGCTCGTCATACCCTTCGCTAAGAAAGTGATCTCTTCCTCTACTAAGGCAGGGCTTTAGCAAACTTATCATAGACAACCCGAAAGAGTGCTTTTCTGTTTTGCTGTGATTCAGTAAACGCCGGTGCGCCTGTAATCCGGACTTGAAGCACAGCCAGGTCTCGTTACTAGCGGATGCATGTTCGTTTTCAGAGAGGTCAAACTTTACCTTTTCAACGGTTTTCAGCCCAAAGCTTGCTGAATTTGAGCTTTAGTGGCGATTGTGGTTGTGGTGCAAACGCCAAGTGATTTCGGCCGTCAAGACAGATGTGATATTGCCGTGTTCAAGGAGGGAATTTTCAGTACTGCCGTTCTGTACTGTCCACAGACAGGAAACAGCATCGCTTTGGGGGAAAAAACTTGAAAATGTGGAGATTTCAATATTCGGAAAGACGTGTAGAAGCTAGGAATTTGCAGGAAAGTGGTAGGTATGTGGTGAGGAAGGGGCGGAGGGGGGGGTCGTACTAAGACCCTCCCTATGAAGGGGATTGTACCGAGACCCTCCTTCGGGGGTGGATCGTACTTATACCACCATCTCCCACACCACGATGCTTTACCCTGACCACAAAGGAGAAATTCTTAGCCAGGACGGAGAAAAAAGTTGGTAAATAACTGGCCTGGTTTTGAGAGAGTGAAGCAGTGAACGGCATAAATATAGATCCATAGAGATGCTAGATGGACCGCATACGACTACGCTATTCTCCTTTGCTTGCCACCAATTTGTGCACTTCCAAATGAAGGAGAGTTGATAAACTGACTACCGTGAAAGAAAGAGCGTTGCATAATTGAGTTCGTCCTTGGTGGTAGGAGCGGCGATTTATTTTTCATTTATACTGAGGCTTCGATTGCGCAATTGAATCACTGCTATCGCGAGGTCCGAATGTTGCCTTGCAGAAATTTCAGCAAAATGAGCGGAAGCAAAACGCTCCCTTCGTTTTGACGTTCAGTGATACAAAACTGAACTTCAGCCTCAGGTGGACGACTAAAGTGATGTATTTTCAAGAGCGTTCAGGAATGCTTCTCCATGCTTCGTACTTATGGTTACGGATTAACGGAATTCATTTGCTTAAAGCATGTCAGTATTAATTCCTTTCCTTGAACGATATTACATGGGTTTTTCGGGAAAATGGAGGGTGAAACATGGTATGAATTTCGGGGCTATTCGAGGTTTATTGCAGACTCCAGTAGAATGCAATATCATTCCGGACAGTAAGGAAATAACGGAATCACAGCATCTACAGGGGGGGGCCAAAAAAAAAAAGTCATTTCGGCCGAGCCACATATCAACGAAGTTTTCGCAGCCCAGACAGGGGAAGTGGATATGAGTACCAGAGTGGAAGATACCCAAGATCTTCCTCTATAAGCTGGAGCACGGCTGCCGCCAATCGCCTTCATGTACGCCAAAATATGAAGTCATCTCCAGTCGCGGCCTGACTGGAGAACACCTTTGGAATTCACGTCGCCTCCAAACAGCTGCGAAACTTCTTGAATGAAGTCATCCACAGATAGCTACCTGGAGGTCAGTACTCTTGATCTGCAAGACCTCCCACATCGACCAGCTACGGCAACGTCGCTACGGTCCAGGACATCATCTTCGCCGTATTCGCCGAGGCGCGAGTTGATGGTATGGACCGGGGTACCTGGAAAGGGGAAGACCGATATTTTCTTTGTAGACCCCGACTGAAGGTGAGCGCTGGCGGTTACATCAAGTAACTCGAGAAGAATATCCTCCCTACATGTGGTCGCCCGTACCTTCTTGGAGACCTTGTGCTGCTACAGGTTTGGGTGCCACCACATGGAATCAAAGGGTTTTGGAAAAACTCCCGCCTACTTGGAATGGAAGGGGCTGAATACCTAAAGAAGGTAGAATATCCAAGTAGGTCACCTGACCTGTATCCCCTCAATTACCCGGTTCGGGCGGAGTTCAATAGGGTGGTCTACGGTGGCGGAGAAATCAACGATCTCGCTCAACTCCGGTACCCACTCACTTTCGCGCGCCGAATCTCTCGATGGCGCTCCTCCAGAAGGCTGTGGCGGAGTATCATTATAGTATTTAATGTGCTCTTTAATATGGTAGTAAAAATGTCCGATAAAAATTTAATAAAGTGTAACTTATAGCGCCTTGAAAGTCATGGAGGCAAAATGACTTTTTTTGCCCCCCCCCCTGTATATGCCCTGTTATTTAGGTGCCTGTTTTGAAGGGATCTTGCCACGTCATAATTTTTGGTCTCGCTGTAAATGTTTTGAAAGGTCGTGAAATTTTCTAAGGTCGTGAGCTGAAAAATTCGTGAATATGATCTGAAAATGATAGCAGCGGTGATATATTAAGGGAAAATGGCTGCAGAAGTCACGGTTCAAGAACCTGAAAATGCCTCGTTCTTCACGACTCAGAGGGGGTAAGGATTTCCAGTTCCGCTGCATCGTGCGGAACAACCGCTACGGTGAATACGCCTGCATCCATGTACTGATATACCAGCCGCTTTATATAGATTTCTTCGCTTTCTACTGTACTTCGCGAATGTAGTACATCGCATCGGTCGCGAACATTGTAGCGAGCGCACAACGTGGTGGGCGCCATTAGCTCCGGTATGTCCAGCTGGATAAGGATATTTAGGGGTATCTTCTGTGGGAAGACACTACACAGCGGAATTTGTCGTGCCAGTTGCCAACACACTCTCCAGAAAACTCCCTCCAAGCCGAAGGACTTGACAGCTAGTTCTGTTCTGCGGGATGATTATGAAAACCTTACCGACTTTGCTGGTGATCTCCTCGAAGTCTTTCTGGAAAATCTCCTCGAACAAGGTGAAATTTCGGCGCGTCAACACATTACTCTCGTTGCTGGTACACCTGAAATATGAAGATTGCGAGTAAGCAGAATCGAATTTCAATGATAAGGGCTTTTACCCGGTCCCGACGATGTTGTGAGGTGCAATTCATGGTTTTGATAGCAAGTGTTCGAACTGGTATAGACAAACAGGATACTCCCTCGGCACCGCATCACCTGCTTCCTTCTGGAATGAAAGCTCAAAGGTGAAATGGGGTATCGACGGATTGCCCTGATTCTTGTTTCGGCATACTCTGCAATCGCAGAATATTATGGGGCCTAGAAAACTTTCCTCAGTAGGACTCCCCTCCAAGCTCCCCTTATCTGCTGCTCAAATGTTATAATGGCTTATTCGCTGCGTTGATAGTGCGTGCGAAAAGGGATGGGTTGGCGCTGCGCCGGCCTTCTTTTTTTGTGTCTCGTTTGGTTTGCCACAACAATTGTTTCATATCGGCTAGCATCAGCCGTTTGCCGCCAGTGTTCGCCTCACCGCGTTACGTACCGATTGGAAGAACGGCTGTCGGGGGCACGCCAAACCCACCCCTGATGCATCATCTGCAACGAATAAGACTGTACTACCGATGGGGAGCGATGAGAACTTTCTGTAGACTGCGAGAATCATTTAAATCCACTAGGGGTTATATAATCGGGACAAGTCAAGGATCAAGCTAAGTTTTCACCAGGTTCAAAACGGGCCCCGTCTCAAGCGACAGGTTATGAATTCACACGTCATACCACGCTGAAGATGTTCACGACCTATGACTACAAGATGTTGCTAGAGTGTCGAAGAGGTGTACTCACCTTGCACATCTTCAAACAGTTTTTAAAGGATATGTCTTGTTTAAGGGTCTCTTCGCACTTCATGTACGCATCGCACTGACACTGGCTAGTAATTCGGGCTTCACATGCCACTACCAAAACTGCCAGCGATAGCAACCGCAACACCATGTTGCCCTAAAAGGAAGACCTCATGAGGAACTGGAAATAGTTGAATATGAAGATCATGGAACCATATAGAATTGTGATAGCGACAGAAGGTTTGTCGCTGGTTCAGCTTCTTTTGGGGAGTGTTACCCACTTTACTCCCATTCGGAATCATGGCGGCATTTAGAATGCAGTGTTGCCTATACAATGACTTTCGAGCCTACTGATGCCCAAGCCAGCGCTTTTTTTCTTCCATATGAGATGGTCCTTCATACTATTCCCGTTGGGGTTGGATAGGATAGCGTTCGGCCTGGATTCCTGCAAAGAACAATGCGCGTGGCCGCAGCGTACGATTTGGCTGAGCGCAGCAAAAAGCAGCAATATTCACCTAATGGATGCCATCCCGAGCCCGCTGCAAGTGGTGGGTAATCTGCTCTGGAGGTGTTTCTAGCCAGGCTCCCGTCACATGCCTGTTCAATTGGAGGATAATGATTGCACCATAGTTGAGTGAGGCACTTTCTGCTGGTGAAATCTCCGCCTAAGGAGTGGATAGGTAATATGAAGGACGTGTTCCGCACAACTGAGGACTGCTCCACGCTATAGGAAACAAATCCATTCTGGTGAGACTAGATTTAACCATTAGATGGGAGAAGCAGGAACAATGAAGATGGAACTGGCCAGTGGCACGCGCCTTTATAACTGGGTGACCAATTTGATGTTGTGAGACTGTTCTATGATTTGATTAGGACAATGCGAGCAACAGGTTTTTCCTTAATATGTGCCATTAAGGCGCTCAGACAAATTAACTAACAGACAATCCGATGTCTGTCAGTCCGTACCCGACTAGGAAAGAAGGATAGAATATACTCGACCGGTGCCGCACAATTTCTGCTTTTGCTTGATTGCTGTTAACAGACTTAGTGGGAACGCTAGTAGAACAAGAAGATCCGATCAGTTATCTGTCTCGACGTTAGCTTTTTATTAGTTTAGCTGAACAAACAGCTGGAACGCTTCCCATAGGCGATATTCATCAGTAACAGTCAACTGTTCCTGTGATTACTGGTTAGCTTAACGTCGTTTGAAAAACCAATTTCGAGGAATTTTTGTCAGTCTCTCAATTTTTGCTATTGCGCTCCACTCCACTAGAATTATCCACCGTTGCCGGCCCTAACCATAAGTCCGGATGAGAAAGAAGGAGTGTTGGTGCGGAGGGCTAGCAACCCTTCCACCGTAAAAGGGAATAATTGCTTCAGAAAGGACGAGTAAGTGTAATGTTAATTGTTGAATCGATGAAATCGGGATCCAGCTGTGTGACGGATGCTCTGACACTATTTCGGATTTCTCAATAGTAAGCAAAACATTTATTGGCACCTGGAGTGCGCGCACAATAAGACTGGGAACTTTGCACAACATCTTCGAGAGTTTGACATCTAACGACTAGTATACTAGGAACAAACGAAGTACGCTGGTTATCGTGAGTGATAATGAACAGTACTATTCTCTGATCACGAAGAAATGCATGAAAAATGAGTTGGAATAGTTTTTGAGCAGAAGAGCAACCAACGCCCTTTGTCGGAGAAAACTGTCAGTGACAGGGCACATCATTGGTTGGGGAATCCCCAACAGGGGGGTCGTATTTGGCCGCCAGGGAGAGGGGGGGGGGTCGTAATGAGTGCGGTAGCCAGTAACGAGCAGCGCAAAGGTGTCAGTGTGCTGAGTCCTGTACAGCGAAACTTGCTTTGTAGAGAACTCGGATATGTAAAAAAATAGTACAAAACTTTCATTCATCAAACTAATCCGAAATAACTCTGCGAAAAAATAACGACTAGTATACTAGGAACAAACGAAGTACGCTGGTTATCGTGAGTGATAATGAACAGTACTATTCTCTGATCACGAAGAAATGCATGAAAAATGAGTTGGAATAGTTTTTGAGCAGAACAGCAACCAACGCCCTTGTCGGAGAAAACTGTCAGTGACATGGGCACATCATTGGTTTTTGGGCGAATCCCCCAACAGGGGCGGTCGTATTTGCCGCTAGAGAAGTGGGGGGTCGTAATGAGCCATGTGAGAGTAGCCAGTAACGAGCCAGTGCCAAACGTGTCAGTGTTGCTGATCCTCCGTACAGCGAAAACTTGCTTTGTAGAGAACTCGGATATGTAAAAAAATAGTACAAAACTTTCATTCATCAAACTAATCCGAAATAACTGGAAATATTAATAAGTCGACATCATCTCGTAAGTGACTCATACTCTGGTTCGCTGCGGATGATGGGGCGCGTCCGCGATCGCGCTTGGCGCTGAGCCAACCTGCTTTTTTTCGACAAACGACAGGACTACCATATCGTTCATATCATACGTTTTCCAGCAGTTGGTGCTCCTTTATCGGAATCAGCAATTGGCGGAGCACGAATCTGGCGGCGTCGACAGGGACACGCTCCATCATACGCAACGGAAAACACTGTAAACAAGTGCACAGGTTCGCCATGGACCTCCCTGAATCCTATAGACACATTTGCTCGCGTGGACAGACATTACGCACAAGTTGCACCATCCCATCACTTCTGCGCGGACCTCAGTGCGCGGCGCATCCAAAGTCAGCGTGATCGGCGCTGAAACGAACCATATTCTGCTCCTGCTCCACCCGCAGGATACGTTTTTCATGCGTTCCTGGTTATTCAGAAAAACGCTGCTCACTGAACGCGTACACAGGAAAACGGGTTTTTTCGCGCGCAGCATGGAAAGGGTTGCCCAATATGTCCCATCGCGAGATCTCATGAATCCGAGAACTTCAGAAACAGTTCAAGAGGTTTTTAGAAAGAGAAAATCTTCAAACACTCGAAACCGTTCTCAGATTTGTGAAATGTTGAGTTACAAAAAAAATATATTGATTCAAACCTGTTCAGTTGAAATCACTCCCCAACGAATCCCATGGCAGATTTCTCTGTGATTTTTGCGACCTTCATAAACGTTTCAGTACTTTTAGGAAGTGCAAACCTTCCTCTACACGAATACGGTCTCCTCTTCCCCACAGGTCCGCTTTTTTGAGGAAGTTATGGTCCTTCAAAGACACCCCACTTTGCTGAAAACTCGCGTTCCACATGGCTGGTCCTGCCCAGAATCCCTCCCCCGGTACCTCGGCCTTTAATCAGCTGATTGCGGCTGGTTGCTCTCGTTCGTATTTACTCTTTCGTGTTTATCTTCTTCTCGGTTTATTCGAATATCGAATATTTATCTTCTTCAGTTTACTCGAATACGCGTCAGAGCGCGCCCCAGCAATTTTGCTTGGACCGCTCAGAGTGCTTTTAGGAGAAGTTGGCTTAATTTCCTGTTTTTTTTTTCTTAATTGCAATTGATTCAGGTACCAGAGTTTGTTTTGACTCGAGGAAAGGTGGGTGAAACCTAATGGCCTTTCTTTTCTATTCTCTTTTCTGAATCAGGATAGAAATGAGCAAAAAGCGAGGGGGCCTCGTTCAGGGGGGGGGGCGGGCGCAGCAAACTTCGTAAGTTTATGTATAGGGGGGGGGTACCGAACCCCCAAAAGGGGGATCGTACGGGCCCCACCAAAATCCCCAACTAATGCTGTGCCCTGGTCAGTGAGGGGATAGTCATGGAGCGTTTTGTGAGCAGGCGTACTCGTATAACTGTCATCCAATAGAAAATAACTGTAATGTTTATAAAATGAGAGACAATGGTCCGTTTCGCCTCTTCCTCAGACGAACCACGGTGATGACGCCAGCCCCTGAGGCACTTCAGTGAGTTGGGGCTGACGATAAAGGAGTATGTGAGTGGAAATCAAAAAGTGCACAAAAGACTATTAGGTTGTCCGGAAAGGAATGCGCGTTCGAGCTTAAAAAATTTTTTATTATAAAAACGAAATTAAACAAGATAAATTCAAAAGACAATCTCCATTAGTATCAATGACTTGTTGTCAACATTTATGCAAAAAATGGATTCCTCTTCTGAAGAACTCGACCGGCTGCGACTCAAAGAAGTTGGACACCCAGAGTTGGACCTTTTTCGCGGTTTGTGAATTTTCTCTCGGCCAGGGAGTTCTGCATCGACCGGAACAGATGGTAATCGATGGTGCCAGGTCTGATCTGTGTGGCGGATGAGGCAGGACTTTCCAGCCCAATTCCTCAATTTTTTTCTAGAGTGATTTTCGCCACATGTGGATGAGCGTTGTCGTGGATAAATTTTGTCGACGTCGTTTCGACACTTTGAAGAAGACGCAGTTAGCTGAGATACATGCGGTTCAATGAGTGTTTGACAAAGATGTCCGCCGTAACCGTCTGACCCGATTCCGGAACTTCAAAGTACATCAAACCTTTGCTATTCCACCAAACACGGAGCATCACCTTTTTGCCGCGTATATCAGGTTTCGGAGTCCGTTTTGGAGGGTCACTGGAGTCTAACCACTGTCCTTTTCTCGTTGCGTTATCGAAGCAGACCCTTTTCTCATTTGATGTAATAATAGAGTCGAAAAAACCGCTGTTCTTGGAGCGACGAAGAAGAATTCCGGCCATTGCCACTCGTGTTGCCTTGTTTGCGTCGCTCAGCTGGTGCGGCACCCGCTCTTCCCAACTTTTTTCCCCAAAAAAGCAAAGTAGACATGGACAAAAATATATCAAAAGAAGCACACAAAAATCTCTTTCTAATAGACAAAACTGTCTCCAAAAATCTTCTATAGTAGGAGAGAAAAAAATGGACAAGTTCAAAAAATTCAACGCGCATTCCTTTCCGGACAACCTAATAGATAAGACAAATAAGAATGTCAAAAGGAGAGCAATCCTAAAATATGTCGAGATACGGTGTCAGCGATGTTCATGAATAGACGTGAACGCAGTGAAAAGGAGCAAGTAATGGTATCCCCTACAGTCAAGAGCTAAGTAATGAAAAGGAGCACTAGAGGAGGTAATAGAAGTAGGGAGGGAGGAAATCCTTATGAAAAAACTATGTACTAAGTTGCAAAATACTACGAACTAGTTGGGTAATACGTTTAAGGTTACCTGTAAAAGCGTACTT